TTTCACTGTTGCCTTCGTCTCATTGACCTTGGATTCAAGAGATTCCTGGTGTGACACAAGGGTGGGGAACTTTCCTGCAATAAAATGTTAATACAAGTTAGTTGAAGATGAGCATTAACACGACTAAGAAACTCATAAACGATTCAATGTTAGAATATCGCAATTATCTTCATAGCCACCGAAAAAAAGGTTATGGGTAAAATTACCAAAAAGGCATGCCATGATATTATCTATATTTATTCATTTTTTATTTAGTTAATTATTCAAAAGGCATGCCAAGGAAACAGAGTTGTTTCTAGGTGTTGAATTAAAAAATACTTTTGATAAGCTTGCATTAAACTACTCAATAATAAAAAAACAGAAAGCCTAGCCTGCTTTGGTACCATGTCTGTATGATTTTAAAATAGAAACAAACAACCAATATGCCCATCATGTTAATATTGAATGTGACACAATTCTGTGTATCCTGAAATTTTTCCCTTCTATACAAATTCACTATTTCTATCAGCCGTAATTGATAATGCACAAGCAGATTAGTTACATTTGTATACCAATGCAAAAACCTTGGATGTCTCAGATCATTCCGAGATCTTATTTTAGAATAGCCTTTACCCTTCAAATCTCCTACTATAGATAAGACCAACTATTATCAGATGTTAACTCATCAAACACACTTGCCTGCCTTGTTAAGACCAGGTCCTAATAGACGCGGAATCTGCTTGATAACAGCTTCTGAGGCTAAGAAAGCATGATATTTCTTTGCAAGTTTCTTAACCAACTTCTTGTTTTTGTTCAACTTCTTGAGAGCCTCCACATCCATGGACTCCAATCCTATTTTTTCTGCCTGCAGATACAATTAAAAATAAATAAAATGACAAGAAACATGGATATGAGTTTTGAAGACTATCAAGATTATCATCACAATTGAAATGACATAGATATTGAAAATAACATCTCTTGACATAAATACAAATGACGCAACATATGGCTCCCACAAATATATTTTAAATGTAAAATATTCTCTTAACATGGTACTTAAGTGGACTTGCAGTTAAAATTCACAGGCTTAGTCAAAACCAAATCTTAACTTCAAAATTTTACCAAAAATAAAGAAATCCAGCTCACAGGTAAAGGTTAAGTTGGCTCTACTCCATGTTTTAGCTAGTACACAAATGAAGTAGTTTCAAGCATTTTCTACACTAGTTCAAATTAAAACTGTATACAATGTATGAGAACAAAACCAACATAAATTAAGAGCGTATGACAGTAGATTACAATTGAAAACTTCAGAGAGCAATGAAACCAATAATTCCAAAGATCACAGTATATAAATGTAGTCAATTCAGGACATAAAAAGAGATTCTCCATTCAAATTAAACTTCCCTAACTAACACAATGTCAAATCGCTTCACTGTATCTCATCATATGTTCTCATCAAACTGTATAGTCACCAGAATCGTAATGCTTATACAGCACATAAAGAAGATTCAGCTTTATTTTATAATCAGAAGAAGAAAGCTAACGAATGGATCACAACATTTGTAAATTGTGTGATAATCAAGTATACCTCCTCAACATGCTGAGCATCACCAAGCATGCAAATCTTCATTTTGGGGCGAGGAATGTGAGGCAACTTCACCGAGCCACTGAATCGCTTATCCTTCTGGGGATCATAATTTTTCAGCCCAATTTGAAGCTCAATCGTCTCCGTGAAATTACGTTTTTTCTCCTTAGAATCGGTAACAATTACAGAAATTGCTTCTCTCAGGGCCTCGCTCTGAAGCTTACTGCAAATTAATTACAATCAAAA